GCTTTATCTACCCGAAGGAGTCTCAAAGCGGCTAACATTCTCCTTTCCCTTCCTCCCCCAAAACAAACACTCTGTGAGGTGAGTGGGGCTGAGAGACTTCAGAGAAGTGTGACTAGCCCAAGGTCACCCAGCAGCTGCATGTGAAGGAGCGGAGACGCGAACCCGGTTCCCCAGATTACGAGTCTACCGCTCTTAACCACTGCACCACACTGGCTCCCTATTAGACTTGAGGCCAGGGTTATTTCGTTCCTGCCATGGACTGTTCCCTACTACTTGCCATTATGCACTGTGACCTAGTGTTAGGATGAGAATCTTGTGTACTCTCACTCCCATTTCCCATCACCCTGACAATCATGACCAGTTATCAGGGATGATGGGAGTTGTGGTCCAACAATATTTGAATTGTGGATAGAGTTGATTCTTAGGGAGGTATTCAACCAAGTTTACTGAGCATAGGTAAAGGTAAAGGGATCCCTGACCATTAGGTCCAGTCGTGGCCAACTCTGGGGTTGCGGCGCTCATCTCGCTTTATTGGCCGAGGGAGCCGGCGTACAGCTTCCAGGTCATGTGGCCAGCATGACTAATCTGCTTCTGGCGAACCACAGCAGGACATGGAAACACCATTTACCTTCCCGCCGGGCGGTACCTATTTATCTACTTGCACTTTGATGTGCTTTCGAACTGTTAGGTTGGCAGGAGCTGGGACCGAGCAACGGGAGCTCACCCCATCACAGGGATTTGAACCGCCGACCTTCTGATCAGCAAGTCCTAGGCTCTGTGGTTTAACCCACAGTGCCACCCGCGTCCCTTTACTCAGAATAGGCCAACTAAAACTAATGAACATGGCTGTGTACATACTATACCTTTAAAGAACATTCAAAGCACATTCTCAACCCCACCACCGAATTCTGGTCACTTTAGTTTGTCAAGAGTTCCTGTGAAGGGGAATGGCAGCCTGTCCCACTAAGTCGCTTGAGGCGAAATGGAAAAGTGTTGCCCCAGCGCCACCTAAGCCTCCCACCAAGCAGCAATGACAGTGGCAGGTTCTGGTGAGATCTCATGAGATCTCACAGTGCACACAATATCTCGTGAGATATTGCTGGAAGCCATCCCTGTTTTCCGCCAGTGGTGGTGGGGCAGGCAGGCAAGGCGCCCACAGAGGCACTTTGTTTTGGAGTTCCGCCACTGAAGTGTCTGTCTCAGCACACCGCTTAGGCTGAAAACTATGGATTCTCACCCAAATGCATTTAAGGAGTTCATATCCTAACTGGATAAGGAACCATGCACAGAGTTGGGTGCTAGGAGCACACTGCCATCTGCCACCAATCCAGATGTCAGGGCTGCAAAGTCCCATTAGAAAATCCAGCCTGCTGTTTGGGAGACAAAGTGAGCAAATGTGGATTCAGATCTGCTCCCTTCCCAACCATTAAAAAACGAAAACAAACTCTGATTTGAGCAACACCCACCTTTCTAACATAGCTCCATGAGTGATGGAACAACTGCAGCTACATAAGTATACAACCGGATAAGGACAGTAGTGTAGTAATTTATTCAAGGTTCCAAAGCATTGCAAAAATTATTTTTGTATCCTACGATATAATTCAGGAGTTTTGAGGGTTGGCACGGTTGGACACCTGCTGAGGATCCACACTCCAGAAGGCCACCCCGCAACAACAGCTTCTTGGATCCGTTCCTCTTCACCTCTGCTTCTTGTTGTGGCTCCAGGGGAATGAACAAGTAAACAACAGCTGTGGTGAGGAAGAGTGACTGTCTAGACCAGGCATAGGCAAACTCGGCCCTCCAGATGTTTTGGGACTACAACTCCCATCATCCCTGACCACTAGTCCTGTTAGCTAGGAATGATGGGAGTTGTAGTCCCAAAACATCTGGAAGGCGAGTTTGCCTATGCCTGGTCTAGAAAGTCAGTGGTAGCAATGATGAGGCAGAAGAGCAGCAGCTGGCAACAATGGCAGAGAAGAGGCAGATGTACTGAGAAAGGAGGCTCCACCCTAAACCCACAGGCACAACCTACCATTGTTTCTCATTGCTTCTCTTCAGTGCATGTATATGTATATGTATATGTATATGTATATGTATATGTATGTATACCGCACTCTGAAAAGGTCATCCATGAGGGCGAACAATTGCATTCAATCCCATTGGCCTGAACTGACTGGAAAGGATCTAAATAATCTGTGTCATCCAAGAATGCTTGCATCTGAGTGTTACAATTCTGTTACTGTACAGAATGTGAAAGTACTTCATAATTCTAGACTTGCTACCTTCTTTATATATCTTCATTCTGATACAAGCAGTTCAAAATGCAGACCAAGACTGTTATAAAAGTTGATGAGCAGAAGAAAGGTTATATGGGATGCAACTGCTTCTTTCTGTGGAGCTATTCCTTTCCTCCACAAGATCCTTGTGGCCACTGGGTAATATACGGTAAATATCAGGAATTAGGTAATGCTGCTTCAGGCGGAATTAACTGCTCCCTCATGATTTGCAACTCTCAAAAAGAAGTTGGGACAGTCACAAAGTGAAAAGCTGTTCAGAAGCTAGTTGTGCATATTAGTATGTTAATGACAGGGAATCATATTTTTTAATATTTATACACTCATACGGGCCCCCAAGGCAGCTCACAACATAATAAAACAAGCACAATAAAATCAGGTTACAAACAACCTTACTAAAGTTTGCAGCAACATATACAAAACAGTGGCAGCAAAAAAAGCACATCTAAACAAAACTGTAATAACAATCTTTCTGAAGCCAGGGAGGTAAGGGACTAAATAAACTTAACGAGGGCTCAGTTGGTTGAGCATGAGACTCTTAATCTCTGGGTTGTGGGTTGGGCAAAAGATTCCTGCATTGCAAAGGGCTGGACTAGATGAACCTTTTGGTCCCTTCCAACTCTACAATTCTCTGAGTCTATGAGTTCCAGAAGTAAGATGCCACCACAGAGAAGGTCCTATCCTTATCACGTACACCCTCACAATCCTCCACTGGTTTGGTGCCAGTATAGAAGCAGGCCTGACTTCAGGAAAAGTGGAAGCTTTTTTTGCGGCAGGAAGGAAGCTGCTATTAGTACCTAACAACCCTCTCTCTCTCTCTCTCTCTCTCTCTCTTTCTTTCTTTCTTTCTTTCTTTCTTTCTTATCTTGGTTTTCTGAGGAGTTAATGCTGTTAAATGAGCAGGACAGTGGCTAGACAGTGGAAAATTTGGGCAAAATCCAACCTAACATTTATGTTAAAAGTCCATATTAGAGACTTCCCTAGTAAAGAAATCTTTGCACCCACCATTACATACTTTGGTGTTGCCCAGTATAGCCTTTGTGAGTTGTTAGAAGCCTGTTATAATCTGGCTAGTAAAATGGGAGAGGCACAATGTGATCAATTTGCACAACATTCTTGTGGATATAGTTGTTCACGGTGCCTCCACTAGAGTTATTCTGGAGCCAGACTTGGTATCAACTTGGTACCAGTTGTCCCTTAGCACCCTGATTCTTGAATTTTTTTCAGTCGGTGTAACCTACATACTGGCTTGAAAAGTATGTCAGAACAGGACTGGAAAAATGGCTTTTGGAAGTGATAAGTGCTTATTTGAGAGGAAATAAGTTTCTACCAGGTCATAAGGAAGGTGTAGTGAGGTTCCTTCTGAAAAATAATAATAATTTATTATTTATACCCCACCCATCTGGCTGGATTTCCCTAGCCACTCTGGGCGGCTCACAACAGAATATTAAAAACACGATAAAACATTAAACATTTAAAAAATCCCTAAACAGGGCTGCCTTCAGATGTCTTTTAAAAGTAAGATAGTTGTTTATTTCCTTGACATCTGATGGGAGGGCATTCCACAGGGCGGGTGCCACTACCAACAAGGCCCTCTGCCTGGTTCCCCATAACTTCACTGCCAGAAGGCCCTTGGAGCTGGACCTCAGTGTCCAGGCTGAATGATGGGGGTGGAGATGCTCCCCTTCAGGTATACTGGGCCACGGCCATTTAGGGCTTTAAAGCTCAGCTCGGAAACGTACTGGGAGCCAATGTAGGTCTTTCAAGACAGGTGTTATGTGGTCTTGGCAGCTGCTCCCAGTCACCAATAAATGCCATCCCTTGACCAATCTGACATTAACAACTATCAGAACTATGGCATGAGATAATCTCAGGTACATTGAGCCATATCATTTACACAACATGCATATTCAATAGCCTCAAAAAGCTACTGGGGCCTACAACATGCTGCTTCCATTGGTGAAGGGTGCTCTTGCTGAAAAGCCTGCTCCGTTATATTCTGAGGCACCTAAACATTCATGAAAAGCCGTCTCATGGAAGACTCACTAATTTTCTAGAGATGATGTCAGGAAGGTATAAAAGGAGATAGAGAAAATCATAGCCTTTTACTATGATAAAATCAGGGCCCCTTCAGATATCCTTTTTATTGCACATTCGATATGTGCTTATGATGGGATTTGAAAAGTTTTGGGATGGAACTATTGCTTCATTTCCAATCAGTGCATGTCCCATAGCTTCCTAATGAATTCATGCAACTTTTAATACCACAAATGTTCAGGACGGGAAGGTGGTTTATCCTGCTTCAGTTGTGCTGTAGTGCAAAACTGCCCTTCCACACAGCAATAATGAGGTTACATTAGGAAAGCACTGTAGAACTAATAAAGTGGAATGATGTGTTGATGGTCCGGTATAAATCAACCATTTATGCCCTATTACTGTGTCAATGGCTGCAGAGCACGCTCCCACACAAAAACACTAGTCTGGAGGGGCACTTAGTGAAAAGTGTTCCTGACCATCTGGAGTTTTCATCCTATGACTACAGCTTCTGAGTTGAGAGGCACCTGTTGCATAGAAGAATGTGTATGAGAGATTAGAAGGGGAGGATTGGGGGACCACAGACAAGGGCCACCCAAACCTAAGGCTAGCCTTGGCTCGAGATTTCACAAATCTTAACAGCAATATATAGTGTCGGTCAGAAAACAGAAATTGTGGAATGAACTTTTTATTCCTTTAAGCTAGCTCTCATTCTTTAAATCTGGGCATTACAAATCTCTCTCTGTGTGTGTATGGTCCAGAAGTTCCAGTACAGTCAAACCTCGTTTTTTGAAAGTCTCAGCTGCTGAACGTTTCATAAGCCGAACACCGAAAACACGGAAGTGAATGCTTCCGTTTTTGAATGCGCCTTGGAAGGTGAACGGCTTCTGTGGCACATTTTTCTTTTTTCCACATTGACCTTGCAGCCAGACTTTTGATCCTTGATTTTTGAACGTCAAACAGATTTCCGGAACGGATTACGTTTGAAAACCAACGTTCCACTGTATTGTGGTTTTAACAGATGAGCATAAAAAGAGCAAGCTGCCAGTCACTGAAGCCACCTAAGCTGGTGGAGCTAGTGGTTTAAGCTTCAATGTGAATAGTCTGAGGAAGGCAAGCTGTAGAATTACTGGAGGAGCAAAACATTGAAGTTGGGCCAGTTCGCCAACTCCAAACACCACTTGTTGACTTGAAGCGTAATCTTCACATTGCATAAAAATCCACTGCAAGTGCTGCAATGATGTCAGTCCTCTGAAAAAACAAATCACGCTTTTAAAGGCCTTAAACTTTTTAACACCCCCGCCCCCTTTACCGTACTCCACCTCATTCATTGCAATCAGGCTGGAATCCCTCTCTCCTCACCAATGAGTTCCCCTCAACCCACCCCATAGAGCAGCCTCAAACTTCATGGAAAGTCCCTTTGGTGTTGGATCTCAGTCGTTCAACGCTAGTACTCCTCGCCCCCGAGTTTGAGGCTTCATCAAGCGGTGGACGTGTGAAGCGCCTCAAGCAGAGGAGTGAAACTCCTAGGGACCGATGTCCCTTCACCCCCGTAATAAAATATTTTAGGGCGTCCCCACCCCCTCGCAGTTGATGGGCATTGCCATTCAAATGGTGTCCGTGTGCCACGTCTTGCGACCGATTAGGTGGGACGGGGCTTACCTTGTGCCCCCTATATTTTATTCAGGTTGGCCCCCCTGGCCTCCAGAGTCTCACAGGCTTGGGCCACCCTAACCTGGGGGGGGGCCTGAGAGTTCAGTCCAGGAGCAGCGAGCGGCCCCCAAGCCATCCCCTAATGCCCGAAGCAACGCAGAGAGACCGTTGGCCCTGACCTCGCGCCGCCGGATCCTGGCGGTTAGGGGTCTCCTCCCGCTGGACCGTTGGGCGCTGACTTGGGGCCTCGTGCTCCCCTCTGGCGGGGGAAGGAAGCCAGGAGGGCCAAGGGGGGATTCCCTGCTTCGCTCCCTCGCTCGCTCTCCGTCTGCGGCGCGCGCGGCGTGTCTTTTGTGTTTGTACACACAGAGGCGGCCGCGGGAAGCCGAGAGTGGGCAGGGAGGAAGCCGCGCGGGCGTGGCCTCGCCTTCCCTCCATTGTGCGCCATTGGCTGCCCTCCTCGGCGGGGGCGGGGCCTGGGCGGGGCTAAGCGGCGGAGACGGCCCTCCCGAGTCAGCCATCTTTCAATTGTGCTCTCAGCCGCCGTCGCCCGCAGCAGCTTTAGCGCCTCCTCGCTCTTCCTCGCCTGCTCGGCAGCCGCGCTCAGCCTCAGCGGACGGGGGTAAGTCGTCAGCTTCGCTCCCTCCCGCGGCGGCGGCGCCCCCCCCTCACGCCAGCTTAGCCAGGGACCCCTCCGGGCTGCCCCCGAACCTCTCCGGCAAACTTCTGGGAAGAGCTGCGGTTGGGGGGCAGGCGAGTCCCCAGCGCAGCCGAAGAGACGGCTCCTTCGCGCAGGGCCCCCCAGCCCCACTTCGCGCGGCTCCTGCCCCCCTCCAGCGCCCTCCCCGCACCCCGGACCCCCACCATCCTCCTCCCCAGCCCCTCACCTGCCCCCTCGGCCCCTCGTCGCCCCGCATCGGAGCTGGGAAGCGGCTGCAAACTGGAGCCAGTTGCCAGCCCGGGGAAACTCTGCTGCCTGCCTTCCCTGGCTCCCCACAGTTGTTGCTCAGCTTCACCATCTTGTCTCTTTTCTCTGGTCACCGACCATATTTTTTCTCTCCCTATTGCATAAAAACAATAAAAAGGGGAGAAATGTGCCCAGGAAACGATCCAAACCCAGCGCGATTTGGGGGGATTCTCGGTCCAAACTTTTCCTCTCCCCGGTAGCCCGTCGGACCCCACATAGTTTGGAGCTGCTGGGGGATTTTTTTTTCCGGGGGGTTGTTATTGTGTTGCTATTTTATTTTTTTATTTTTTCCCCCTCCCCGTCTCTCTCTTTCTCTCCCTGCAATAGGGAGTCTAAGGCTGCATTTCGTGATTGTTTCCATTTTGTTGGGGATGAGTTTGCCAGCGAGAGGCGCTTGGGAGCGAGGCAGCCTCAGCACTGGCAATTGGGCAGGCGGGAGCAGCACCGAAAAACCTGACCCCCCAAAAGTTCGTTGCTTTCTTGCACTTAAAATCTGACGTGATATTTCCCCCCCCTTCCTTTTGTGGAATAAAACCTGGCTCGTCTACGGCTTCCATTTGTTTTTCCTTCGCGCGCGCGGCAGGGCGAGGGCAACGGCGGCTGCTTTGCAGGAGAACACTTTAAGGCTTGGGAGTCCCCCTGTTTTCTTTTCTGTTTTTAAACCGATTTTTGTTTTTGTTTTTTGCTCAATGCAAGCCATAAATCAGCTGCACGTCCCCCGGCGTTTTCGGCAATTATTGGCACTTTTTCTGAGCCCACGGGAGAGGGTTAGGAACCGCTTGTGTTGTGTTGGAATCGCCCCTCTCTCATCTTTTTGACTGCTGCTGCATCGCTCCAGTTTTTTGCCCTGGGCAAGGGCTGCATTTTAGCGGGCTACTACAATCCTAGGCATTTATTTTACTGTTCAATAAATTAGATCCCCCCCTCCCTGACCATCTTACCATCCAAACCAGCACTTGCAAGGGAAAGGATTTCTTTATGTGGCAAGCTCGCAGGCGGGGAAGTCTGCTGCTTGGCTTGCTACCGGAGGTGTGGATCCGCAGCTTTTTAATCGCTTAAGGTTTTGGAGGTCCTTAACATCCGATGCATTGTTGTTGGCTTTGTAAAGGCAGTTTTAAAAACAAATAAATCTGCATTTTCGGAAACCCTTCCCCCCCCCTCCTCTGGTGGCTGCTGTGTGGCGGTATAGTGATCGCGTGGGTGATTTCTTACCGATAGGTGTAAGGAAGAGAAGTTCGCGGGAACATGGCTCGTACCAAGCAAACTGCCCGTAAATCCACCGGTGGGAAGGCGCCCAGGAAGCAACTGGCGACAAAAGCCGCTCGCAAGAGCGCGCCCTCTACTGGTGGGGTCAAGAAACCTCATCGCTACAGGTATAGAAATGACCGCGAACAAAAGTATTGTGATGTTATAGTCCCCAAACAACGCGGAAATGTTTATCGGAACGCAACTTTTTGCTTTGGGGATTTTTTTTAAAAAATCTTTCACGTTGAATCGGATTATACTGGCAAGGTCTCCGTTGTTTCTTCTCTTGACGAAAAAGAAAAATTTCAACATAAAAATATTTTATATTGAACATTTCCTCCGAAAAAAGCTGTAAGATCGCCTTTGATAGTAATATATCAATGGTATTGATTAAATGGATTTTAAAAATAAAATCTGAAAATCGCAATATTAAGTTTTAAAAAACAAATCTGGTTCTGTCGTGTTTAGGATGTAGTAATAGGGCTTGCTGATTAATGAAGGTGTTGGAAGAAGCCTGCTTTATTTAAAACTTGCCGAGCCTGATAATTTTTCATTTATTTAAATTAGTTTAGCTCCTCAGCTGTTACTGTAAAACTGATATAATTTGTGCATTGTACCACTAGAGGGCAGCAGCTGCCTCCAGATAAGCAGGTAAATAGCAGGCTTTACACTTTTAAATGTTGTTTTTAAGACTGTGTATACACAAATGGATAAATTGTAATTACTGATATTCTTCTAGTAGCCATTTTTCTCATCAATTTCATAATATTTACATTGCATAAAGAGGACATAAAGAAAAATGAGTACTGAGAAGTTATTTAGTGGTTTCTAGCATTCTGTTTTGTACTGTTCTTTTTAGCTGAAACCAATTTGACTTATTTTAGCATGTCACTACCTCATTTTGTAGAAGTTGGTCTTGCACAAAATGCTCTTGTATGCTCATGTCTCTTGAATGGAAGAGTTATTCAAACTTTCATTTCTCTCTCTGGAATTTTGTATGCTCTATTTTTTGGAGATGAAGACAAAAAGCTTATTTGTCTTGTTTCTTCTTCTTTGTTTATCATTTAAAGGCCAGGTACTGTGGCTCTTCGTGAAATCAGGCGTTATCAGAAGTCAACCGAACTTCTGATCCGCAAACTTCCTTTTCAGCGCCTGGTGCGTGAAATTGCTCAGGACTTCAAAACAGATCTGCGTTTCCAGAGCGCAGCTATTGGTGCTTTGCAGGTAAAAATCATATTGTATCTTACTAGCTGCCCTTAACCCCCCAAATGGCAAGATGCCCCTTAATAGAACTGATAATGCATGTCTGAACAATATAATTTCAGGTGAGTACTTAACAGTGTTTTCCACCCCATAACCTTATATATGAACTTTGTTTTCAATTAGCCATTTTGTGTCCCAAATTGTTTCTTTCTAAGTTACAATTATCTAGCTTTTAAAAAGACATGGGGAAAGGTGCTTAAAGGTAAACTCTTTCTACTAAAGTAATTCAGCTGACTTTTAAAAATATATACATGAGACTTAATTTACAACTGTCTCAGACAGTACACATGTGGGTATAGCTTTACCATCACAAATGACATGAAAAGCCCTTTCTAGAGTGCAGCCATTAACAGCACTGTGCCGTTAGTACGTGAGGGAGTATGTGATTGGTTACTTCCATACGCTCATCTTATTGGTTCAGCTGTTTCTATGGTTAGTCAAAACTTAACGCAATTGGTGGGTTTCACAAGTAAGCATCCATGTGTTTGTAGGTGCGCAGATAACAACCAGCATTTGGGAGAACTAAAGTAATTCACCTCCTTGAGGAAGATCTTAAAACTTGAAATGTTGGAACATAAGGATTTCAAAAATAGATCTCCTAAAGGAACAGCAAATGAATCCATTATTTCTTTCCACCACCCTTCAAGATTCATTTTTTTATTTTTACTCTGCACGAAAGTTAACCAAACCATTTCTGAGATTTGTCAGGAATATGATCTACATTACGCTGCATCATAATACTTAGCAGCTTCTGCCTTTGTCAAACCTCCAAGTAACTTCCACACACCTTTCCTCTTTCCACACATCATTAGGAAGAGCAAGGGGTACCTGTTAGGATGTGGTTGGGATACACCTGGTATGTGAGATGTACTTTTTGAGCCCTTTTATAAGATAAACCATTGAAGGCAGAATGCTGCACTGGAAGGACCTTGGTCTGATCCGGCAAGACAATCTGTATGTTCTCCAACAAAACACAAAGCTTGCATTAGTGTTAGATGTGGTGATTTCCAAATATGGAGAGGGAACTCGTGCTGTTTTCAAGTTCTCTTTCTTGATTTATTTCCACAAATTACTGATGTGTAAGTAGCTATATGTGAAGAGCATGACATTGCCAATTCTAGGCAGATCCAGTGTATTTTCCAAAAGTAGAAAGGCACATTATCCCTTTTCATGCAACACTTATGTGCACAAGAGTGATGTAAGCATGGCTAGGTTGTGGTGAGGACAGCGACTTAACAAGGGAGAAGCAGCCCTTAGTTTGTAAGCGCTACACTCAGGGGCCTCGTTTAGTCGTGTCCGGCTCTTCGTGACCCCATGGACCAGAGCACGCCAGGCCCTCCTGTCTTCCACTGCCTCCCGCAGTTTGGTCAAGAGCATTTAATACTTTACAGACCTATTTGACATTCTCAGAAACAGTTCCCAGACAGAACTGATTTGTCAGTCATTGGACTCACATAAACCCAAATGTTTTGCAGCATGCTTTGCCTGCTCTGTATGATGTAACACTGTCACTTCCTGCTCTAAACAGACAGAGGTACAAGAAAGAAGTCCATTAGCCATCCTAAGAATAATGTCGGCATATCACAGGATTTGTGTGTGAAACATGTACATGTAGAAAATTCTACACAGCATATGCAGAATTCAAGCTAAAACAGGTGTCTATAAAAAATTCAGCACAGTCTAGAATCTAGACTCTAGATGAAGCCTGCCTTATTTGTGGCCCATCAACTCTTAACACAACGCACCGTCATGCTGGTGCATGGTACCCACTGTGTTTGCAGTCCCAGACTGATGACCAAAGAATAGGAATTTTATTGACGGCCGTATAGGGTCAACAGGCTGCACTTGTCTTGTGTACAGTCCTCCAGCCAGGATGCTATGAGGTTTCTGGCTAACCATTGCCAGATTAT